AGCACTTAACAATGTACATGTGTCTAAATATTACCTGGGCCCAATTTCACAGTGCTGCTAAGCACACAATTTTGTGTTAACAGGGGCTCCATGTATTTCAGGGAGCCTGTGTAGCACAGGCGCGCTTACCTCTGAGAAAAAAAAAATTGTTCAACTTACCAACGTAACAATAGGAAGCTCTCTGCACGCGAATGCACAGACAAAAGACAAAACCATGCTACATGTAAGCACTGCCATGATATAGTGCTTACAGTTAGCAAAATCTGCTGCTACAGTAAGCATGACTTTCCTGCTTACTGTCATGACTGTCAAGCAGCGCTATGAAATTGAGCCCTGTACTTGTCAGTGGTATACTGTGTACACGCATAGGACATGTATGTGATCCTTTCAACCATTTTATTTTCAGTGCAGTTCAAATGTTTAAAGTCTGAAACTCACCATAGCATATGCTGTTTAGTTGCAAAAGTCATTACAGCTTTTTACAAGGGATAGCTGTTTTTAACCATGTTGAATCGACATCACACATGAGAATGAACATTCAGTTATCTTAAACTCCTTCCTTCATTCAAATTAGTACCCTGGTCTAAAGATTTACCTTATGTTGTTTACATAGCCATTCCATCCACCTGGAAAAAAAATCAGTATCATTTACCACTTCGCACCAGTGGCATTTATCAATGTTAATGATGCTGGGACGGAATAATTGGATAATTATCATTTTTTTCTGTGTTCAAAATTCTTTAAAAATTCATATCTTCATTTACTGGAAACCTACATGTACTCCCACACGAAGGACTGTCTGGTCTCTACTCTAATCTGACAGACAACATCTGTTGATGCTGGAGTATTTCAGTCAGGCCTGTTGCCTTGTAAAAAGAGCCCAGATTTTGCAGTGTTACGTAATTTTCTTTTGTTCACGAAACTGGCACAGTGCGCTGCTGATCTCTACCGCAGCGGTACTGTGTGGCTCTTCGCTGCGGTGGTGGAGTGATTTTGTCCCCAGTGGTAATCCGCTCGCGCTGAATGCTCCAAACTGTGGTATACTGTTTCAAAACAAGGCTAGATTATCTCCACTATTGAGAGTAAAAAATGTTGGTAATTCCCAGCAGCCTGGTCTTTTGTTACGAGTACGGTCTTTTGTTACAAGGCCCAGTTCCCTTTGTCTGATTTCGGAGACCGTGGCAACGCGTATAAAGAATACTTGTCCGAAACCGGAATCCCTGGCAGCAAGAGGTCAAGAATTGAAACATGCACTGCCAGGTGATAATTGTGTCATTGAAGAAGACTTTTTATTATCCTATCTTTGTGTTCTTTGTCCCGTGAACATGCAGACTCTGGTGAAACTGGTTGGCAAGGAGGGGTTTTCCAACGAGCGCTATGAGATGGTGACCAACTTTCCAAGGAGGAAACTCTCATACATGGACTTTGACAAGTCACTGAAAGATGCCGGGCTCTGCCCACAAGAGACCATCTTCATACAGGAGCGCTAGGGTGGCACCAGGAAACCTCAAGAGACATGCCTCTTTGTGGTAGAGTACGCGCAGTCTGGCCAGTATGCTCGAGGGTCCTGCATCTCCAGCCAGTGGCTTACAGGTGCAAGCCTCGTCCACACTCCAAGGGATCGGGGCAGTTACTTTGGTGGAGCGAGATGCGTGAAGGCTGTGGGAAAACTTCCGAAACTCACGTCTGCCGCTGGAAGCAGATTTTATTTTCAGCAGATGATCCAGATGTAAAGTTTCAAAAGTGCCCTGTCTATTTCTCTGCTGCTAAGTTCTGAAAACATTAGTATTTCTCTTCACACTTTGTGTAACAGCCCAACATTACGCAACTGCTTGGCGAAAATAATAAAAACCTGCATTGTGTGCTCTTTCAAGTGTTTGGAAAGAGGAATGATCAAAGGCAAAGAGCAATGCACGGTATTGTGATTCAGCCCTTGTGAGCCTAAAGGACAATGATTCCAGCCCACACTCTCAGAGTTTGGGATTAGTGGAAATCCTGAGAATGCACCACCAACCATGTAGCTGGCATTCTTGAGAGCATTTTTAATTAGTGCTGAGAATCTTGTGGTCCCTTTGCTAAAGCAGTTTTTGTAAATTGGAGTGGATGTTAATTTATTTCCCCAAAATCCTCCCTTAAGGAAACCCAGTGGTACGTTTTATTGGACTGAAATGTAAGCATTCAAAGGAAATCCCTTTCATCATTCCTGCTACTGTAAGTTCATGTTTGGAGTCCATTACGAACAGAAGTCTTACCCTTTATTTTTTTTCCCAGTTGTACTTGTCTTTTTGAATTGTTTGGGTCATGTGTCCTTTGACCTTCCATTAACCAAGTCTGTACAATACCCATCACATGTTACACATTTAAACATGTTTTCCTTTGTGCGATAAGCATGAAGTTCACATGGTGCAGATCAGCAGTAAGACAAGGTAAACACGTTTTTCCCGTAAACTAGTAAAGAAAAGGTCCTCGACAGGAGTGGACAAACTCGTTCATGTTGGGGAACAGGTCGTGTGACCCCTGAATTTGAGGTCCTAGCTGATCCACCTTAAGAGAGTCATGTGATGCTCAGTTTTGACGGCAGTAACCCCAGTGTCCATCCATTTATGGTATTGTACAATTTTTAAAGTTGAGCTGGGCTCTCTTCCCTGATCAGCAACATGTACCTGTAGATATGCATTATAATCTGTAATAACAGTCGTTTCTATTTTTAATCTGAATTTACAAGGAAAGCTCTCGAAAACATAAAGTACAGATGTGTGCAGGTGTCACTTCTGTAAGTGTATTGTCAACATCAAAAAGATTTCATGCTCAAGGAGCTTGTCATGCAAACCACCCACAGCAGAACAGTCAGCCCACAGAATCTCGGGACCTACACCACCACACGCAAAACTCCCAAAGGGTGACCATCCCTTAAACTCTCCAGACTGTACGTGGCTGCACTAGGATGTTTCTGGCCATGAACTGCTTTCAAGGCATATCGGCATGCTCGTCAGTATGTCGGGTGTCATACCTAATTATCCCGAATCAATGCACAAATCCCTAACTTTCACCGTCTCTCTCTTACAAATGCATTCGCACCATACAAAACCGTAGGAAAATACATGCAACTCTAGAAAACATGGAGTGTGGGTGGGTATGGTGCGGGATGGTGGTTGGGGCGTTCCAGACAGCAAACAATCACTAAAGACCGGATTACAGAGTATTCTTCTGACGAGAGATTGTTTATTTGCATGACAGGGTTTTTTGATCAGGTAAAACATTTTACTGGTTTTAAAAACCATTAGGCGTGGGACAGCTGTTAATGCACATGCAAACAAATAATACGTATTTGGAAAGTCTTCAAATGAACAAATTTACATGTATTTAGAGTGCCTTTTAAGAAAAACACTTATAGAAATTTGTAAAATCACATCTGAATGTTCAAATGATAAAGTATGCCATATTTTGGTATTTTCAACATTTTTATTGCAGTATGTTGCATTTCTCACTTATTTTTTTTCGGGGTTAACTTTTTTCTCATTTATGAAAGCACATGATAAAAGCCACGCAATGGCACTTTTCATGACAGCACATGATAAAAGCTATGCAGTTGCACTTTTCAAGTGCACCAGAGGCAATACATATTGCCAACCAATTCAGTCACTCTATTTACGATTTCAAAGTCTTCATAATGTAAGCTGCAGACATACAGAAAGGTTCCTTTTCAAATTACTTATACATGTACCATGAAGTTAAAAAAAGATTAAGAGAGTCCTTTGCACAAAAAAGGAGTTAAATAGAAGTGAAAAAAGTTTTGTTATCTAACTTGTATATTGAGTACTTGGATATAGGTATACTCATGTCCTCTGCTGATTTTTACTTGGGGTGTATAATTGCTGGAGAATTTGTTTTCCCGCCAAATCCCAGAGCAGAAGTTCAGTACTCTCCAAGTCATATTTACTACCAATGTCAGGACTGTTGCCAACACATGGAGTCAGCATTACTTGAAGAATAGAATATTACTGGATACAAAGAAATCCATATATTTTACACTTCATCTCTCATCTCTCTAAAAGTTACAAGGCAAGTACCTTCTATAAACTTGTCTTAAATATGCCCATGGTGTTTAATATCTGGCAGTATACCCTGTACTTCTAACTCCATAAGTAGTAAACTACAGCTCTCAAATACTCGGTTTCATGAACTTAGACCTTGCTCATTGACAGAAAGAATCCATCGGGCTGTCACATACTTTTCCTCAAAATGCACGTCCATGTATAAAGGCTACAGGATAACCGAACAAAGATATCACCCAGGACACATTCTTGTTCCACTTCTGAGAAAATGCCCCCCTCCCCCCAAAAATGGTTAATCGCATAAAAATACTACAGATCCTTATCGATTCAAGCGCACGTCACCTGACTTCACTGGAAAAGAATTTCCAACTGTTCATGAGAAGTCATTCCTTTCTTCAGCCAAAATCACATACATGTATTGAACTTTATAGTACTGATACATAGCAAATTATTAATTGCGTGTAAAAGGAACACAACAAACACAGCTTCACTGACCAAGTTTCTACGACAGATACAACGACGTTAGTGCTTCAAACAACCAATGATGTTGCTCTGCAATATGTTGGAGGTGGAGACTGGATTAACTTTAGCATGTTCAGTGTCGCTTTTCTGTTTTCACCGGTCAACCCCTCGTTTTTCATCAAGGCCAGAGAAGTGCAGCACTGTATGCTGCGTAATACAATAGAGCTACATGAAAGCAGTACATACAGTGGAGATTAATGCATTAATATCTCGACCTCATGTCTTTCAGCCTGAAGTTGCTTAGAGAGCACCACTAAGAAAAACATATTTTCTCTGATTTTATCTGTTCAAGTGAATATTGAAGCATCCAAATCAAACACTGTCATTTGTCTTCAGAGCTCAACTATAACAAGCTAACAAGGGCTTTTTTCTGTTCATGCCAAGATGCAAATTCTGAATGTAGATTGTGTCATTCTGAGAAAACAAGGGGAACAATGCCTATACGCATCGCTTGGCATCCAAATGGGCTTATCCACTACGAATCTAAGCCAAGATTCCCCTCATTTTCTCGAAATGACGCAATCTACATTCAGATTTCGCATCTTGGCATGAACAGAAAAAAAAAGCCCTTTTAACTTGTTATAGTTGAGCTCTGAAGATAACTGACACTGCGTTGGATTTGGATGCTTCCATACTTATTAGAACAGATCAAATCAGAGAAAATGTTTCCCTTTGAGATGCTCTTTAAAATGTATTCACAATTCTTTCCAACATTTTGTGATATTGGTCCCACATGCATGCTAAGCTTGCGACCGTCTCTGCCTCTACTTGGGACTGGCCTTGAAATAGTCATCGACAGAGACATTTCTGTAGCCGCCAAAGTAGTCCAGGAGGAGGATCTCCTTGATGTCCATCTTCAGGAAGGTGTACTCGTGAAAATCCCAAGTGACCATGTTTGGGTGGCGTGGGAAGAGGGCAGCTCGGGCTGTGGCATTTCCCGCTGTGTCTTTGATCAGATGCAAGTTGCCTGTGGGATAGGGAAGAAAGTTATTGAGACAGCAATGCAACTGTAAAGGAAAATCTGAACAACAAAACCTGAGTCAAGGTCATGAAGGTGTTTCTCTTGATGAGATTTTCCAGCACTTCCTGCGTAGGAGTGGCATACACAGTGTGGACCACTGCACAAAAGAAGTCCACATAATTTAGGGTGTGATGGCGTAGTGTGGATTCGCACACGTCCACACATTGATTCCCCCTCTCTGAAAAACAGTTTCAGAGGCATTTTGGGATCAAGGTTATCCGTGGCAAAATGTAGAGGAACAGTCCAGGAAATAAAAAATCCAGCTCGAAGGAGTTATCCTAGTTAGAGAAAAAGAGCATATTCCTCAAGTTTCCTTAACCACAGGAGAACAAAGGAATGTCCACACTTTGTATGTAAAACAGGTATGTGTGTGTTTTTAAAAGACTCATGATTTCAGACAAGTTCAGTGCAAACCTGGTGCCTGCCCCAACACCACTCTCCCAACGCAACCAAGTCTTCCAATCAGGTATCCCAATTGTTAGCTCATCTTACCCCTTAACATCAGCCGAGCGCACATTGGCCACTCTGGGTCACCGTCTTTCGTCAAAAGGCAATCTTTCAATCCAAACTGGGCCTCGCTGAATGTCAGTGTCACCTGAAAAAAGAAAGACAAATGAGAAGTTCCTTGACAAGACTTTACAAAATGCTTCAATTCCACTGGAGTTTTGAAGGATTTGGCAGGATTTGTAGAACAGCCCAGCCATTATTTAACACCAATGATAACTTAGACGAACATTCATTGATCAGAAGCCACCAGTCACAAGTCAAACTCAAGCCATGTGACAAATGTGAGTCACTAACTGGGACTATTAACCCTAACCCTCCTCAATCCTCCAAAATCCTTGGGGTGGTTTGGGGCAGTTTTGGAAGATTGATGGTGAATGGCAAAAGTGCATGGCTGATTGCAAAAGATGCCATGCATGAAGGTCGTGGGTAAGACCTTGTGTTGTTTTTGTTTGTTCATGCATAAATTCAGCCTGATATTTCTTTTGAATCAACCGCACTGCACAAGAATGCCAATTTGCACTGCCTCAACATAACGACAGGAATTGCCAGAGGATCTGAAGGATTGAGGCAGTAGGCAAGCCTTCAAGAAACATTTCCAGGAAATTTTGGAGGATTGAGGGAGAATCAATATCATATCAGTCAATATTTGTTTGAAAGCACCTCTACCATGGATCCTGCTTGATTTGAGCAATAGCTGATTCGTGTGATCTAAATGCTCATAAAAAGTGTGTCTCAATATTTTAGAAATTTGTTGAAAATACACTTCAAAATGCATTCAAGGCGCACACCAGAATATTTGCAACACAAAGAAAGTGGTTACGTGTACTGAGTTACAGTTGCTATGGACTTCGGTACATGTACATGTGCACCTGTACTTTGGTTCCTATGGGTATAGTTCTTTTGGCTGTGAAAAGCAAATCCTGCCGAAAGGTATTTATAATTAATGGACATGTAACAATAAACAAGTACACATGTTTTACCAAATCTTTAGTTCTTCCTATTTTTGCATCAAAAGCATAAGCACGCTGACCTGTGCAAATCATCAACTGCATCTGGGCCAGCAACAGCAATCGGGCTAATTTGAAAGCCAGGCTTCCCATGCAGTCACATGGCTACCACAGAGAGAGGGATTGGACTGTCAGTACGCAGACTGCAATTTGGTGAATGGTACTGATCAGGCAGTCTTAGGGGCTGGATATTGCAACTTGTCTGACAACAATGTGGTAGCGTGCTATTTACACACCGTATCCCAGCATGAAAGGACAAAGTGGGAGTAATGAGTGACCATGGAATAATTATAATTATAATTATTAATAATCATTTGACCATCACAAGAACAAATAAAGCAAAACTGAACAAAAATTGAACAAAAGTTTTAACACATTTTGTGACTTTTTAAGGCCATTTCTGTCATATTGATCGTAGAAACACAGAGGTGTCCTGTGGGCATTTCAAGCTTTGGAAGTAATCGTACACATAAACATCATACATGTACATTGTACCCCTACATATCCAAATCCCTTGAACGGCTGATATGTCATGGAGATTTGGGTTATCCGGCTTTGAATTAATGAGAGTTTACACTACATAGAGAATATTCAATACATTCCTCATACTTTATTGGATGGTGAATATATTGATTATGAAAAAATCTCACATCGACAAAACCTGAAGTACACGAAAAAAAATGTGACAGTAGTGCAATAAACCAGCGGTCAAATTATATAGATGTGAAGTTGTCACTTGGTCTTGCCCAGGATTAACAATCCGTTTTAACAAGTTCAGCAACACAACGAGGAATACATGCGGGTACTCATGCCAGACATAATGGGGCTGTGCTTACTCGGCTATCCTTGAGAATATCTTTCACCGTAGAGGACAATGCTGCGTGATACATGTAGGGAATGCCTGAACTCTTATCGACCGGGCCATCACTGACGGAGGAAGGGTTGGGAAATGGTTGCCCCAGATAGGCCTCATTGGATGAATATGTGGTCACGACGCACCAGTTAGCCTGCACCACACGAGGAAAGTTTGAAAAAGAAAGTCAGTTCTTTAACCACACGATTCTTGAACATTTTTAACAGCACGGCAAACACATTTGTATGTAATACCTCTGTAAAAGTCTGGTGCTTTATGAGGAATGTACCCTGCCCTTTCAAGTGACTGTAAAATATGGGAGAAATCATACATGTACAACTTAGAATAGTTTCATGAGCGATGGTAAAAACTGTGACCCACCACCCTAAAGCGAGGCTGACATGGCTGAGGTACATGTAGGTAACTTCATAACCCTGAAATAGAAGCATTTCCAATGTTCAGATTTTCATGGGAGTTTTACAGCTATTACTGCCCATAAGAAGCTTACTGCAGACAGAATTTCAATTTCACATGGATCACTCTAAAGTGTAAAAAAGCTGAAGGAGAGGAACTGTTCAATACCACAAATGCCCACTTCAGCCTGGTTTTGGGATGGTGGGTCACAAGTTCTAAAGAGAATTTCAGGGAAGCCAAAACATAACACAAACCAAAACTTCATGAACTGTGCATGATCTATCTAATCTATCTAACAAGAACACAAGGCAAAAATCTGTGGATTTCATTGATATCTTTTGCCAGAAACTCCCCTCCTCACAAAAAAACCCACAATTCAAGGCACTTTCCTATTAACAATTGCTCGAACAGAAGAAAAACCCTTTGGAGAGACATACAAAGCGGCACTTTTGTGGATATGTTGTACAATGTACATGTACAGGTACCTTATGGACGATGTAACGTGCTCTCTTTGCTAGTTCACCATGTGGAGGGGGGTCTGCACCCTGTCCAAAAGAACAACAGAACTAAGTTAACAAAGGTTTGGTATAAAAGTGCACGTAGGCATATAAGCCTTATTAGCAAACACAAGAAAAGGGAGCTTTAGAAATGGGAAAATTCAAAATAAACAAAAGATTTTACCCAAACCAAAGAGCACCTTTCTATTGTTTCCGCCATGCCTAAAACAGGTTAATGAGAAGCCTTGTGTGGCTTTTGGGCAAAAATCTTTCACAAAGTTACTGACCCTTCAGGGTTGGACTGATGGCATCAAAAATTAGGGGGAGGGGGCATAGTGCCCCAAAAAATAAAACATCTGTCATTTCACTCTTTCTTCACATTTGAAAAGATGATCCTTGAACTACGTACCTTAAAAAGCAAAATTTAGTAGGGAAAATATCAAGGCAGTTACTTAGAAAACAATTAAAATTTTCCAGAGCAGCCTCATACATGTAGGATTGTTTGAGCACAGGGCGCCAAGTGATGTACACACATATGGAACTCTCTCTGAGCTGGAGTTACCAACACTAATAAATTCATTGAATATAACAAAATAAAACTAGTCCAGTCTATCACAAGTCCTTTCGCGCGATCAGTCACGAGAAACAGGGTACCCAATGACACAGGAATGTTTCTGTCACAGTTTATTGGAATAGCCATGATAGCTTGTGATTTGGCTCAACCCTGATGACATGTCACAGATTTGTGATGGACTCATGGGGAAGGGCGATGGACTCGATGAAACACTGAATGATGGACACTGAAAAATACATGTACAGCCTATACGGTAATTAAATTGTCTAAAAATCTGCCTGATAAATCATTCTCCTCTGCAGTAGCACATCTGGCAATGGAAAAAAGAAGACTTCCATGTAAGTTTCCAAAGTTGGCTTCAGGGTTAAGCGCTTTTGTGTTTCGGAGTGACCAACTGCAATGAGTCACAAGGCCTAAATGCAGCTGCACTTGATTATGTTATGCACAGATTATGAACAAGAAACTCCAATCTCTCGCACCTGCTGATGTGAGTGATGTTCACCATGCCCAACTCAGTGACTGTACACATGTACATGTACTTGGCAGCAACATACAGACAGGAATACCAGAAGCCTTATCGCAAATACCGCGTGGGTGGGTTTGCACAACGGTAGAAAGGCATTGTGGGAAGGAAAAAGGAGCAATGTTTGCTCATTTTTCCTTCCCATAATGCCTTTCTATTAAATTGTACAAAATCACCCATGCACTATTTGCGATAAGCAGGTGATGAGATTTTTGCTCTGTAATGGCAACTATGCAGGCTACGTTATCACCAGGTTACTAAAATAACTGTAGGCCTAGTACTTAGTTCATGAAGTACAATGTAGTACAAAGTTCATGGCATCCATGATGTTTGACACAGTCGTGTGTTAGGGACCATTATGTAGGCTAATAAATTTTTCAAGTATGTTTATTTATATGTCTCTTTCAAAGTCATCTTGGAGAGGGTGTCTTAAGAAACATTTTGATATCAGTTTGGATTCCCTCGGACTCTGCAAAGCAAAGAAATACTGATTTAAAGCAGACATATTTTGAGATGTTTGGACCATGCCTTTAGGTCCTCCACTAGAAAAATGTACATGTATATGATAAGAGATATTTTTAGATGTGTGGACCATGCCTACATGTATGTAGGGCCTCCACTCTGATAACATGTCATAGTAAGGCCCTTTTCCAATACTGGACTTGGGCTCCGTCTCAGACTTCGTTCCCAAAACCAATCCCCGATTGTGGGCCTGAAGCGTTTAAATTAAATTGGATTACTGTAATTTCTGGCTCTCTTGCATCTTATTTGATGTTCTGTGGCACTATTAGACTGATTACTGCGCTTACAGCTTCAAAGTCAGCTAGTAAAAAAACAGTTGAAGCCTGAGACGGAGCCGAAGTTGAGTATTGAGTATTAAAACGGCCTAAGTGAAATTTGGCTGAGAAATTCCTAGGCATTTACTAACAGGTAGAAAACACTTTTTGAGAGGTTTTTGAGACAAGTCTCATACACATGTATGATGTACATGTACGTTACTTTATGCACTGGGCCATAGGGATCAAGTATTGTCCGTACATACATATGAGTTGGAACTCTTTCCCTATGGCAGTTGGTACTTAGCCTCACACTGTAGTAGCTCTCTTTTACAATCTGTCTCTTTTCTGTCGCCACCACATGCACAGCCCTACTTCAAGCTCAAGGCATGTCTTTAATGCCTGAAATCCATGAAATCCAACCTGCAGGATTGTCACAAACTTCGAATCCTAATATCTTCCGAAGTGAGAATGACTTGACAATTTTAGTTACACCGGCGTATTCCTCAGAGTTTGGGCTTTTATATGAGCACGGTAAAGTTTTCAAAAATCGTATATTTTCCGATGTTTGGCGCCTTGAATGAGCCACCACAGCTCTACATATGTACGTGTGGGGCTTGTCTGTTTTCCTTCCACCATGGTCAGACAGAAAGAGCGGTTTACCTCAGTACTTGAAACCGGTATTCTACCTCTACAGTTTACTCACTCCGATCAGTGTGCAGCCCAACAGCAGGGCGATTGCAGTCACCAGGGATACCATTGTGTTTTCAAAGAGGATCGCTGTTGTTAATGAAAATGCATGAAATGAAGAGGCCCTCTGCCTTCATATACTAGGAAGTGTGGTCACGCTCATGGACCCTTGTTACGCAACGCTTGTCACGAGTGAACCTGTAATGCGCAACGCAAACAAAATGTGCTGTATGGTGTAATGTGGCGTCACGTGCGCTCTTCCGACAAAAGCGGGGGCGCCCTCCTCCTCAGAGCGCGGCGCCGGACGATCAGGGTGCACTGGACCAGTTCAGGCCCCATTGAAAACAGTGTAAAATCAACCAAGTTTGGAGCCCCATGGCAGGCAACTGAAGTCCCTGAGGCCTCTCAAACAAACAGATTTCATTTGATTTTCAATTTTTAGTAGGTTAACGAATGAATTTTTTAATTATCCGCCCAAAACAAACTCACCCCCCAAGTACAGTGAATGTTGCCAAGGCCTCCCAGCGGCCATTTTTCAATGACATCCTTCACCTTCCTCGGGCTCTTCTGACTAATTTTCAATCCCATTTTTGTCTGCTTTGCCCCCAGATGGGTGCCCCTGAATCTACAGAGATGATCCTGGGCCATACTGACGCAATCCCACCATTTCTTGGCCCAAACAGACCCGCCTTTTTTTGAAAAAATCTCTGGGGGGTACTTTTTGTGCGCCTACGCCTTGCGGAGAATTTTCCTTGAATTGGGACACTGCACCCATCAGTGACCGGACCATACAGGGTGCACTGAACCAATTCAAGCTCCATTGAAAATAGTGTAAAATCAACCAAGTGTGAAGCCCCATGGCAGGCAACTGAAGTCCCTGAGGCCTCTCAAACAAAAAACAATGTGTTGGTTGGTCCTTCAGG